CACTCACTAAGTGCCAGGCACTATTACTGACAGTACCTGTGTGGTGTAGGTACTGTGGTCATCTTGCTCTACAAATGGAGAAACTCAGTTTTGGGGAATGGGGAGATTCACTCAAGGTCACCAGGTTCAGAAATGTCAAGGCTGTAATGTTAACCAAATGCTGACTCCAGAGTTCCAGTTCTGAACCTGTACCAAGAACAGGTAGGAAGCTGCATTTTCAGACCTCGAAGAACTGAAATATTTGAGAATTGAGCCTCCCAGAGCAGTAGAAATAAACCAGGTGAGGTGGGATCTTTCCAGAGGCTAGCTGGAGACAGAACCCACATGTTATCATTCCCCGTTAGTAGTCTTTACAAACTACATAATTTACAATGACCGGCTCAAAGAGATTTTCATAAAGACTTCCTCTTCCTTTAAACGACCTCAAGACTCACCCAGCACATGTTGGAGAGTGCCTGAAGTTCATTATGTTTATGAGGGGGAACATAATGAAATTAAATACACTTTCTCCATATAAAATGCTCAGCAGAAGACCAGAATTTTTAAGGGATATTTTACCAAAATATATTTAGTCTAAGTCTGATCATTTGTGATACAAATTGAATCACATTTCACATTTTCAACTTTAAAATTTTTAAACGTTAAAAGCCATTTTAGACTGATTTAAACTTCCATGAGTTCTTAAACCCAGCTTATCTTTATCTTGAGATTTATTTTGAAATTTGAGGAAGAAGACAACACCATATTTTAATGTAGCTTTTAAAAAATTAGTTAACTAGTCATAAATTTGGCTAAGATATTGGGTCATATATTTAAAATAATTTCTGAAATAATTAAGCTAACACTGGAAACACCTTTGAGTCCACATTCTTGCTATCTGCTTCTTATTAAGAGGCCCTCTTTCTAAGACTTGTTCTCCTTACATCTGGTTCAGAGGCTGAGGGAGGTTAAGAAGCTATTAGAGTGAGTATTATAAACCACGTCAATATAACATACATGGTGGCTTCAAATCTTTGATTTGCCATCTTTTAATTAATTAACTAATTAATTAATTAATTAAAGTCATGATGAAGAGTATGGAGTGTGAGGCTGTGCACCTGTGTGAGGCTGTGCACATGTGTGCATGAAACAGAGAGGCACCTTCTGTAGGTTCTCATCATGAGGTAATTCTTTTTCCTCAGCCCTCCAGCGATCTTGGGCATGTGTGCTAGCATCTGCTTGTTTTCAAGCTGACCTGGGACTCCAAACCCACAGTAGGCCATGTGGTTTCCAGCACTGCAGTTTAGTTTGCCACCAACTGAACCACCAGGCTGGGCCTGACTCAAACTCTTTACGTTAAAACTCTAATAGAAGAAAATTAAGTTAGACAAGGAAGAAAAAGTTAAAAAGAATCTTCCTTAAAGTCAGTTCTCTGGCCAGGAGCCTAATAGGTGGATTTTTAAGGATTTTTTGTTTTTTGTTTATCTTTCTTCCTACTTCTGATGCTGTACTTATTTCTAACCATTTTGTTTTGTTTTGTTTTGTTTTGGAGAGGTTTTTGCTATAGGGCGCGTGCACTCGCCAGACAGACAGAGAGAGACAGAGAGATAGAAAGCGAGAAATCACCCTCCAGGGGGGATGGCCACACCACAATCCCTTCTCCTCCAGTCTCCTCTCGGGATCTTGGGCACGCACGCACACGCGCCAGGCGTGAGTTTTAAACCACCAGGTCCGGGATGCGAACCATGGTCGACTACATGGGAGTCCAGCGACATAGTCATTACGCTAACTGCTGGTCCCTCAAACCGGTTTTGATGTTGATTCCTCCCCCTTGCAGAAAGCAAACAGAGCAGATCAGAAGCCACTCAGAATGAACTCATCCACATCTCTGGAGAGAGCTGAGAAAGGAAGCAAAGTGGGTGGAGGTGGACTGAGACAGGGTGAGCAAGAGGAGCCGGGGCGGGGGGGGGGGCCAGGACTGGATGTGTCCACAATGGTCAGAGGCCACTTCTGTGGATTCTCTAGGGACTTGGCTGTCCCCAGGTTCCTCCTGATTACAGATAAAATACAGGAAACATGCTGTCATCTGAGACTTAATTCCTGATAATCATTGATGACAATCTAATGCAAGGCATGGTAAGTGTCAGAAATGCTGCCTGATAAAAAGACCCTAGAGGGCAAAGTGTTTGTTTCAGTTGATCCATTCAGTTACCCACACTTCCATGTAGCTCGGTGTACCCTGTCAGGGACTAGCAGGAGCTCAGGCAACTTCTTCCCTGTGTTAGTGATTTTATCAGAGCAACAAAATAAAATTATTTTATCTTGATTGTTCTGAAAGAAACAGCATTTTATTTATTTATTTTTTTGAAAATGTAATATTTGTTGGGCCAGCCCAGTGGCCTGGTGATTAAAAGCTCTGGATCTTACATGACTGGTAACGTGGTTATAGTCTCAGACCCAGTGGTTTGAAAGACAGCTGGGTGTATATGCATGCTGCCTAAAATCCTGAGAGGAGGGCAAGATGGAGAAGGGATTGAAGCATGGCCATTCCCCATGCTGAGGGGTGGGAGAGAAGTGAGGAGGAGCTTTCTCCCTCTCTCTCTCTTTCTCGCTCCATCTCACTGTCTCTTTAATATAAGCACACAGATGCTGGCAAATAAAAAAAAGGAAAACATAATGTTTGTCTTTGAGCTATCCTGGAATTATAGAAATGACTTCTGAATGAATGCTCCTTGCCCCCACCCCCGACTTCAGGGCCCCAGCTGGTCTCTGCAACATCTTGTGAGCAACTGGAAAGTCCACTTCCAAACTTGAACTTGCCAAAGTGCCTTTTCTTCTGACTTCTCTGGGGATAGTTGTAGAGAAAAATCACTATTACCTATCTTTAAAGAACAAAACAACTTCTATATAAGACACATAGTGCTACCAGTTCGGGGGTGGGACGTGAAACCAGAGAGAGAGAGGACTTTTCATTTCCAAAATCAATTTTATTTGAGGCTGGAGGGCAGAAATATGGCATATAGTAAGCACCCCTTTTTTACCTTTGAGAGTGTTCTCAAGAGTGCCGTGAAATCATACAGTGATGGATACGGAACTTCAAAGAGGTGAAGAATGGACGTCATAGCTTTATCCCAGTCTGTGTGTTCTTCCCAGTCTGAGTGTTCTTCGTATGTGTAGACGGCTTTCCCCAGCCTCATTCCTTCCTTTCCTCTCTTCTTCAGCCACACCCCAGATAACAGTGGCAATGGAGGGATGTCCAGAACTGGAAGCTTTCCTCTCTCACCTGCCCACTTTATCCTAGAACCGGCCCGTTGAACATAGGCCTAGCCTGCCCTCTTTCTCTTGTACTAGGAAAATTGTCGCAGCTTCTTCCTGTACCAGGGAGGGACCTGCCAAGTTGCACGTGTGGAATTAAAACTCCAGCTGTTTTCAGAGGTCTTCTCACTGCCTTGCATGACTTGGTACCTTTTCAGGACCACCAAAAGTGAGTAAGGAGGTGAGAGTTCTGCAGAGGGGGCCCACCAGGTTGGACTAAAGGGAGCTGGGTGTGTTCTGATGAGAGTCACTTGGGACAATCCGCTGAGAGCCCAGTTTATGATCACTTGAGGCCTCCACACTTCCACTGGGCACTGCACTGGGCTCCAGGGGACACAGTGATGATGAATATTAGGATGATGATACACACAGTTCCCACTGAACGAGGCTTTAGCATCGCTTGTATTTTTTCCTACATTTACTGGATCCAGGAGAACCAATAGGCTCCACTTTTGTGGATGTGAGATATATGAATGCCAGAGGAATTAGGAGGGGAGGATTTATGTAAATGTCCAGTTCATGCACTCAATTCTTAACAAAAACTGTGTTTAGTTTGTGATGTGGTGGGATCAAAGTTAGATTAAGACCTTTTTGTTCTAAAGCCTGCACTCTGATTCTCCTTCTATAATATTTTCAACAATGCAGTTATTTTGTATTGAGCACCTACTGTGTTCCAGGCCATTTACATACATGACTTTCCTACTGAGTCCTCTCAACCGCCCAGAGCCTGCTCTTTGAAAATGTGACTGGCCTCGGCTGCGGGCCTAGTGGCCTTTCCCTGCCACCGTGCAATCTTAGAAGCAGCAACTGCGGGGAGGGCGCGGGCATTGCAGTTTCCGCCGTGCCCGCCCGCGGGGAAAGCTGGCTTTGGGACCAAGGGCCTCAGCCGTGGGGGGAGCAACAGCTGTCGTAGTCGCACCCGGGGACTGCTCTCCCGCGGGGCCG